TCTCTCTCTCTCTCTCTCTCTCTCTGTATCTCTCTCTCTCTTTCCCTCCCTCGCTCTCTCTCTCTCTCACTCCCTCTCTCTCTCTCTCTCTCCAGTTCCTTGATGAAAACCTCTTGTTTGTGCGCATGCAACGTGCAGAGTCGAGGGTATTACAAGGAGGCCTCGGGGGGAGGGGAGGGGGTATATTTGCATACCATGTCGATTGGCGGCTTGAGGAGACTAAATAACGCGTCGTGACGAGCTAACGAGGTTTACTGTCTACGTACGCGCTCCCATGCAGATTTCTGCGCCGAGAGTATGTGTAGAGCGGAGGTCTATACCTATGAGTTTATCGAGTGCGATGAGTTTATCGTCGGTTGCTACTAGGGTATATCGTTATGTATTATTATATATATTATATTATTATAATTAGCTATGGACGTCTATGTGAGCACAGGCACTTGAAACGTTTTCAATAGCAAAATTTGGTAAATAACACGCAGATGTAGTTAGTACGAGAGTCTTAAGGTTTCTCTACTACTTTTCGCTATTATTGCCGATAATTTTCTGTAAACGCTTTCAAATGCTCCTCCGGTGTGCGTGTGTGTGTGTGTTGTGTTGTGTGTGTGTGTGTGTGCGTGTGCTGTGCGCGCGCGTGTGTGCGTGTGAGCGCGCGTAGTGTGTGCGTGCGTGTGCGCTCGCTGTGTGTGCGCCGCTGCGTGTGTGTGTGCGTGTGAACGTCTGCGAAGCGTGAAGCATCTGCGAATAGTGTATATGCGTGTGTGTGTGTGGTATGTGTGTGGTCATGCGGCGTGTGTGTGTGTGTGGTGTGTGTGTGTGTGTGTGTGATGTGTGTGGTGTGTCGTGTGGTGTGCGTGTGCTACTGCGCGTGGAGCGTGAGACAGATTGTGGCCACGCTGCGTGTGTGACGTTGCTGGTTGCTTAAACGGGGGACTATTGTGAGGAAACGTCGATTGGATCAAACTAACCGTCGTCCAGGGGCGAAGCACGTCAGATGAGCATCCTGATATCATGCGGGTTGTCCAACCACCGTAACTGCAGTCCACTGAGTGTATACTGTACGACGGGCTAGGCGGAAGAATTGCATAACGCTTTTTCGAGTATCAAAGTTGAAGTTGTTTCAACTCAGATGCGATGGGACTCGAAGATAAGGCACCAAGTTCACTACACGCCGCACACTTCACGTAGTACGTACGGATTGCGATGTGATACAGAGGGAGGCAAGCACACTCGTTTCGAACATGGTCTTGTTGACCTTTTACAGCCTCGTTAGTACGCTGCAGGTTAAAATATGACAAACATAAATAAAGTGACAACTTACAACCATCAGAAATATGATACGCGCTTACCCTACCGTAAATATTTATGGGCTGTTCGTTGTAATAGAGCGTATAAGTCAGGAAAACTAACAAACAGGAAGATAAACGCGTTCACGACGGGAAGGGATGACCGACGAATAACAACTGACGGCATCTATTGTTTATCTATTATTATTATACATTATATATCTATTATATATTATTATATATTATATTAAAATATATATACATTGTTATTATTATTGGTTTATCTGATTATGTATACTGTCATATATAATTATTAGATATTATAATGTATAATTGAGCACGGAGAGATAGTATAGTGTGAATCGGCAGCAGTAGCAGCAGCAGCAGCAGCCTCTCACCTCTCTTCATGGCGTCGTGTGGTGGGTCGTCTGTCGACAGACCTTCCTTCAGAGAGCTGCGCAACGTCACTAGCTCCGTACTAAGACTCTTCAATTGCTCCTTCAATAGATCGACGTCACTGCTATTACCACCTGCAGACAAACGAGATACTATATGAATATATATATATATATTCAGCTAACCAAGAGCTAATAACCAATAAAAAAATAAAAAAAATAAAAAAAACCAAATAAAGACCAAATAGTTCCTAATAATACCTAATAATAATAATGTATAATTAGTTCTTAATACAACGTCAATGTAAGACTTATTCAAATAGACTTTTTTATTCAATTTCAAATTAATAATCGTTGATCATATCGTATTTCAGGTGTTAATGTGTTCAAGTGTGTCAGGTTTGTCAAACTGTGCCCATTTAGATCTATCTATCTAGCACCAAACGTATTTTAACAGGACATAATCTTAAAGCTGTCAACGTTTCACGACCACAGATATAAATTTTCTTTATTCAACATTCGCAACAGTAGACAATCGCAACGTCTGAACTCGGAACACTAGACAGTCTTAACGTTTAGCTGTGGATAACTTCGTATCGTTCTAGAACTCACGGGTGCCAAAACAGGCAATTTCTCATCCGTTTACAATAATTATATGCATTTTATCTCGTATCGGAATTCACAGGCGTACATTATTGTACCGTAATGGCAAATGAAATGCTATATAACAGTTGATGCATTGTCGTCTTTCGTAGAAGCTAGTTTACTGGGGTAGCAACAGGTGTGGCGGGAGTCCCTCTGCGATTTGACATTCAGTAAATTGTTATACGACCGACCCCGGCCTTGATCGCTAACGAATCGATGTAAAGCGGCTGCGAATGTGGGAATTGTACTCCATCGCGCCACTGAAACACCGATTACTCTCTACATACGAGCTACATACATCGCCTGGCCAATTCGAAATCGTGATGGCAATAAACAGCGGTCACACGTTTATCACCGCTATTCCTTCCCTTGTTCTACGCGAAGAATGCGAGAAGGCACTGCAGCATAACGACGACAACCGCGTAATTTTATTGCCCGAGTAGGCGCACAAAGAGTAAAGTCTCTCGCCACAGCGCCCGGGAGAATAGAAGATGCATTTCTAAACGTCCCGACGCGAACGTAAAGTGGGTTAGTTCTGCCGCAAGTTGCGCGCGCATCGTTGTCAGCGAGACGCGTCACCAGCAACGCGTGAGGTGCGATCGACGCGACACCCACGCTCATCTATAGACTCCTAAAGAAGTCACAGCGATTCGAGTGAGAGAGTGAGAAAAGAGAGAAACAGAAAGGGGGCGAGATAGAGAGAGATAGAAACAGAAAGGGGGCGAGATAGAGATAAATCGAAAGAGAGCGATAAAGAAAGAGAGAGAGAGAGAGAGAGAGAGAGAGAGAGCGGGCGAGCGAAAGCGAGAGAATGCAGAGCGCCGCGTGCAACCGAACAAGCACCAGCAGAGACGCCGCTGGAGAGATATATAGATAGATAGATAGATAGATAGATAGAGAAAGAGAGAGAGAGAAAAAGAAAGAAAGATAGAGAGAGCGCGCGCGGCGGGGAGAGCGTTTTAGAAAACGGCACACTTACGGAATCTTTAGCGGTCATCTGTGATTACATCTCTTTTCCAATCGACTATACGTGTTCACCGCGCACTATATTCACCTGGCGATCGTAAGCCGGTGAGAGTACATACTCACACAGTAGGTCGACCAATGGTTGCATGACGCACAGCGAGGAAAGACAGAGAGCATGTAGAGAGGCACTTGGAACGTTTCAATAATAAAATGATGGTAAATAAACACGAAATGTAGTCTGAAAGTCGTAATCTTTCTCTACTCTCTTTCGCCGAGTTTTACTGATAATTCTCTGTAAATGCTGTTCAAATGCTGCAACACACAGACGTACACTGCACGCACGCCGCTGTGCACAAACAACAAGAATATAGAGTTTATTATTTATTATAGTACTCTATATTCTTGTTGTTTGTGCACAGGCCGCGTGCGCGCGGGGTGTAACATTGTGTGGTTGGCAGATGAGGCATTTTGAACGGCATTTGACAGGAATTTATCGCAAAAAAAAAAAAAAAAAAAAAAAAAAAAAAAAAAAAAAGTAATAGGCGAAAGAAAGTAGAGAAACATTAAGACTTTGGTATAAATACAGCTTATGCTTTATTTAGCCATTCATTTTATTAGTGAACGTTATAATTAAGTGGGCGCTGTGATAGAGGCTTTGCAGTTCCGGCGCGACGGCAACATGTAGGCATAAAGGTGATAAAGGCTAGTTAGCAGGTGAGGCTGGGCGCTGGGAGGAGAGGGAGCTAGGGTGTTACGATGTGATCAAGAGCCCTATAAAGCGAAGGTCCTTCTTTATCATGGCTCTTGATGTGATGCATGCGCTGGTGGGCGAGGCGTAATCAGCACGTCCCGCTCAGAGCCGTATAAAGAGTCTCTATATAGAGCTGATCCACATGCAGGCACTTGGAACGTGTCAATAAAAAGAAGAAAAAGATAACTCTCTTATTCATGTTGTTTGTGCACAGCGCGGGCGTGCGGCGTACTTGTGTGTTGCAGACGAGCATTTGACCGCTATTTACAGGTGATTATGAAGGCGAAATAGGAGTAGAGAAACATTAAGACTTGGTGAGTAAATACATTTCGTGTTTATTACTTTTTTTTATTAGCACGTTCCAAGTGCCTGTGGGCTGGTCCCCCGCTGGTCTCGCGGTGTGAGCCAGACGATTACGTCAGCGGAGCTTACGAGCTGACTCGTGGATCCGCGGGGGAACGTGTTTTAATATATCAGTTCATATTACAGGAGTGTAACTATATATATATAATCTATTATTATACAACTCCTGTTAATATCGGTGCCAGTCGCCGGCACCGTGTTTATAACATTTAAATCTTAAATAGGTTATCTCTTTCTTCCTCTCTCTGGCTCTTCTCTGCTCTCTCCTCTCTCTCTCTCTCTCTTTCTCTCCCTGCTCTCACTACTCGCTCTCTCTCCGACAACCCTCGCAGCTCTCTCCTCTCTCTCGAGCCTAGATGGAGCTGCTCGTCTCGTCTGCTCTCTCCTCGTCTCGTTTCTCTCTGCTCTCACTCTCTCTGCTCTCTCTCTCTCTCTCTCTGTCTCTCACCTATATCTCCCCCTCTGCTCTGTCGGCTCTCGCTCCTCTGTCTCGCTCATATCCTTCTCTGCGTCTCTCTCTCTCTCTCTCTCTCTCCTCTCTCTGCGTTCATCTCTCTCTCTCTCTCTCTCTCTCGTTGCGTCGTCTCTCTCCTCGCAACATCTCTCGTCTCTCTCTCTCTTCCGCTCCTCTCTCTCTCTCTTCTCTCTCTCTCTGCTCTCGCGTCTCATCTCTCTGGCCTCTCTCCCTCGCACTCTCTCTCTCTCTCGCTCTCTCTTTCTCTTCTCCTCTCGTCCTCTGCATCTCTCTGTCTCCTCCCTACACTATCTCGCCGCCTCTCTCTGTCGCCTCGGCTCGTCTGTCCGCTCATTTCTTTCTCTCCTCTCTCTCTCTTCTCCTCTCTCCTCCTCTCTCTCTCTCGCTCGGCATGATGTCTCTCTGCTCTCTCTCTCTGCTCCTCTGCCTCCTCTCTCTTTGTCTCCCACCCCCGCGGCCTCTCTCTCTCTGCTCTCTTCACTCACGGAGGCTCTCTCTCTCGGCGCGCGCATCCGCGGTCCCTCTCTCTCTCCCTCGTCTCTCTACTATCTATCTCTCTCCTTCTCTCCTCTCTCTCAGCTTCTCTCTTCTTCAGCTCTCTGTCCTCTCATCTCTCACGCCATCCCCCGCTACAACAAGCCGCGCTCCCCACTATAGGCTTAGGCGACCGATGCTCATCTGAGCAACTCGCACTCAATTTACCCGCTAGTCGCGAGTCACAATGGCAGCGATTGCATTTTACAGCTCTCGCAATATCGGCGTCGACCCCTGCGCACGACGCGGCCACCACGCGGGCCGGCCAAGGACGAAGGCGAGGCCAGGGAGCCAGCGGGGGGTGCATGAGTACGCGTCGGTTCATGGCGTCTGTGCATGACCGCGATGACTGCGGGAGAGCAGATCGAGTGCGTAGAACGTACAGCTTAGTGAGGCGAGGGGAGGGGAAAGCGATGGGAGGGGGAGGGGGTAAGGGGAGGGGGAGGGTGATGGGAGGGGAGAGGTGATCGGGGAGAGGAGGGGTGAAGGGCAGGGGGAGAGGTGATGGGACGGGGAGGGGTAAGGGGAGGAGGAGAGGTTAATGGGGAGGGGAGGGAGACGTATTGGCGTTTGGCAGACGAAACGCGCTCGAGAGTGTGCAAAAAGTGCGTGAAAGAAGAGAGCATAGGAGAGAGTGTGTGTGAGAGAGAGAGAGAGAGAGAAAGAGAAAGAAAGAAAGAGAGACAGAGAGAGAGTAGAGAGAAAAACAAAACAGAGATAGACTAGATAGATAAGATAGATAGAGAAAGAAAGAAAGCGAGAGAGAACGCAGAGCATGCATGCATTCGAACAAGCACCAGCAGAGACGCCGCCGGCGGCGACAACAACACAAGGCGAGGAGATCGCGTTCCAATACGTCTGACACCGTCGGCCAGACCGTCCTGTAGCTATGCACCCATTCACCACACACACACACCACACACACACACACACGCCGTCGCGGGGGGCCGCGCACGGCGTCATGCAGCGTACGCACGCACGCACGCAACGCGGCACGCACGGCACGCACGCACGCAGGCGCACGGCGACGCACGCCGCAACCTCACAGACACACACGCCGCGGCAAGCATGCACGCACGCACGCACGCAACGCACGTGGCGGCTACGCACGCACGCACGCACGCCACGGCACGCACGGGCAACGCGACTCACAGACACCACACGCACGCACCGGGCCGGGGCCATGCACGCACGCACGCACCAACTCAGCACGCAACCGGAAGAGCTCACCCCACGAACGACACGCACGCATGTACATACGCGCGCACGGGGACACTCACGGCACAGACGCAGCGCACGCACATCACCGCATGCACGCCGCATGGCAGCGACGCATGCGACGTACGCACGCACGGCACGCACGCACGTCCATGCACCTCACACACGCACGCACTCACACAT